GGCCAGAGGCTTGAAAATCCCACCGCGGGAGGGGCATCTTCGCAATTTGGCCTCCTACACGGACCATTTGGACCGCATCGCGGCTTGGCACGCGCGGCATGGCTCGCATTTTCTCCAGGACGTCCAGGAGGCCCAAGACCGACTGGATAATCTTGCTCGCGCCTCCAACACCGCGGTCACCCTGCCGGTCCAGGGCTCGTCTTTGCAGCCCGCGCCGCGCGTGGAGTGGCAGAAGCGGTGCAGCGTACTACTCCTTGCAGTTCAACGGGGCGCAGTGTTCCGGTACTTACGTTGGAAGCTGGACAAGTACATCCCGAACCTATTGCCTGGCAGGCGAGCGGAGCGAACCACGGCCGTCTTGCAGGGTCTGGCTCCAGAGGTGTCCCCTCGAGTTTGGGCTGTTCTGATCAGAGCGTGCACCAACGGCTGGACGACGCCGCCGAATTTTCACACACGGGCGGCGTGCATATTCGGCTGCGGGCGAGGCGAGGACAATCTACGCCATTACGCGTGCTGTCCTACCATCGCCACCTTCGCGCGCGCCAAACTGGGCGTGACGTATGCCGACCTGGACAAGTTCCTGGTGCTCCAGCCCCGGCTCATGCACGTAGAGCGATCTGTCTCTTCGCGGTGCACTCCGCCATGGCCCATGGCGGCGCGACGGCGCGGCGGCGCGCCCAGTGCGGCCGAGGCGCTGGCCCAATTTGCTCGCGAGGCGTGTTCCGCGCACCCCCTGTGCCGCGGCGCACGCCCGAGCTGCCTGGATCTCCTGGCCTCTCCCCTCCTCCCCCCTGTCTCTGCTGATGCTGTTGCTGCTGCCGCTGCTGCTTGTCGTGTCCGTCGTCCTCTTGTCTCTCCTCTCGCATTGGCCTGGTGCTGTTAGTTATAGGTTCACATTGTTTGTGGCACGATTTGCGACCGGTCGCCGCGATGCAGGCGAGTCGAGTCTCCCCCAAGTCCGGGGGTATTGTTGGTTTTGTCCCTCTTCCTCCTCCTCCTTCTTGTCCCCCCCTTCCTGCTGGTAGATTAATGCTGTTTGCCAATTTGGCCATAGGGCTTGTATGAGTCTGCTCATCCATCAACGCGGGCCGGCTCGCCTATCGCAGGTTGGCCGGCGCACTGCTTCAGACTAGTGCTTCGTCGTTTCTCCTCCTACTCGTCCTCGTCCTCCTCCTCCTCGTCCCCCTCCTCTTCCCCTTCCCCCTGAATGGGGTGACGTTTACCTGGCTGGCCACTTCAGTTTTTCCCGCCAGTTGTTTTGTTTTTTGCTTAACAAAAAATCTGGGATGTTGTTGTTGTTGTAAATAAAGCCGCTGGCCAATATCTGCCGCGTGTCGCCACGGAGTGCACAGGTGACTCGAGAATTGTTGCGATCGTTAAAAAAACATTCAACAGTGGCTCATTTGGGGTAACAGGAGTGCCGTCGGATGGGCAATGAGACGTCTATGGCCAGGCTTCCTCCTTATTCGCCGATTTGGATCCGTGGCCGAGAGGCTCGTCACAGGGGGGCAGGAGGAGGAGGAGGAGGAGGAGGAGGAGGAGGAGGACAGGGGGGGAAGGAACATTAACAGGAACAGGCAGAGGAGGAGCAGGAGGGGCAGGAGGAGGAAAAGGAGGAACAGGAAGAGCGGGAAGGGGAGGGGAAAAGTGGAGGACGAGACAGGAGGAGGAGAGGAGGAAGGAGGAGGAGGAGGAGGAGGAAGGAGGTCAGAGGCTAGGGAGGAGAGAGGAGGAGGGAGGAGGATAGGATGAGGAGGAGGAGAGAGGAGGGGGAGGAGGGTGGAGTGAGGAGGAGGTTGAGGGGAGAGAGAGGGTGGGGTGAGCAGGAGAGAGGGGGGCGGAGGAGGGAGGAGAGAGGAGGAGAGAATAGGGAAAACGAAGAGGAGGAGGAGGAGAACGAGGAGGAGGAGGAGGAGGAGGAGGAGGAGGCGGGGGAGGGGGACGAAGAGGAGGAGGAGGAGGAAGAGGAATATGAATATTCAGAGGAATCATGTGCATACTACTACTTGTAATAGTGATACGAAGTATAAAATAATTATATGGCTAGTAATGCTACTAAGAATAATCATACTATTAACAATAATGATAATACCACTAATAGGAATAATAACATCTTAATAACAATAATGAGAAGAGGAGAGGGAGGACAAATACTAATAACAATACTAATAAGAACAAGATAAGGAAAAGGAGGAGGAAGAGGAGGAGGAGGAGGGCCATAATGAATTGCGGAGGGGGAGGGGAGATGGAGGAGGACCAGATGAGACTAGCAAAGCCTCTCCACGACGCCGCGATGCACCCTTTCGCGTTCCTCTTGAGGCCGTGTTTGTCGTCTTGTCCCCTCGGGAGGCGCCCCCCCCTGAATGACGAGCGCGCCGTGGCTCTGCCGCCGGGGGGAGATCGCGCTCCGCAGCGGGCCCCAAAGCAGCAAGATGCTCGGAGCTCCAGGACGCGTCCAGCGATGGTCCCGTTCCGGAAGGGACCGGCCCTCCATCCGTGCAAGAGCTGCACCTTTTTTCCCCATCTTTTTGACCCAACGGCGGAGTGCGGTTCAGTGATTCAGTCACGCCGCAATGTGATTCTATAGGCTTACGCCACATCCGCCGACCCCTTTTTTTTCATCAGGGGCTATCGCCGGGTCTCGGGAGCTCTCTCGGAGGCTTTGCGGGGCGGCCTAGGGGCATCGTGGGTTGTCTGGATGCCATCTTGGGCGTCTTGGAACGGTCTTTCGGCGAGCCGGGGTTCTCTTGGACTGTCTTGGGGGCTTCTTGGGAGGCCTCAGGGGTTGTCCTGGAGCTCCGGAGTGAGGCCAGGGAGGGCCGATCTCCCCCTGGTGAGTTTGGCGGGGGACGGGGGGGGTGCTACCCAGAGGCCTGGGAGTGGAATTGTCGGTTCGGGCTGCCCATGGGGCGAATATAGGGGGGAAGACTCTCACGCGCCTAGACTCAGTGGTCGCGCGCTCCCCATCCCCTCTCCTCCCAGGAAGATCCGTTTCGATCAGCGGCGGAAGCCTACAACGGTGGCCCCGTTTTGAAAAGGAGCCGCCGTCCATTCGCGCAGCCATCGACCATGTGTACTCCAGATTTCGTAATAAAGGGAGGGGGGTCTCATTTCGGGGGGGTCTCTTCCAGGCTATCTTGGAGGGCCTGGGGGGTCTGGGGACGATGTTTTGGAGGGTTCTCCCACGGGGGAGGTCTGAAATGGCTTGTCTGGGAGGGTCCAGACCCCCTCCCTTTTATTACGAAATCTGGAGTAATCCTTGGGTTATCTAGTTCGAGGGCGCCTCCAGCGAGGACGCACTTTGGGACCGAAGCGGCCGCCGCCCCCGTGGCTGCCGGAAGCTTCTGCGGCGCGTGTGCGCGGGGCGGGGGGCGAGAGAGCCGCAGGCTGGAGACGATCGCCCCCTCGTCGCCCCCCCCCTCCTCCTCCTCCTCCTCCTCCTCCTCCTCCTCCTCCTCCTCCTCCTCCTCCTCCTCCTCCTCCTCCTGGCCTCCTCCTCCTCCTCCTCCTCCTCCTCCTCCTCCTCCTGGCCTCCTCCTCCTCCTCTTTCTGAGGGGCTCCGACTGCTGCCCTGCGAGCCCCCGGCCTGGCACCCCGAGGGGTCCCCCGCTGCCCCGGCGGGGGGCCGCCCGTGGGCGCCCCGCGACAGCGCCGTGCGCCGGGCGGGGCCTGCCGCGGCCTCGCCCGTCTGACGGGGCCGGGATTTTTGGAGTCGGGCACGTCTCTCTATACAGGGGGAGTCTTCACGAGCAGTCGAGAATAGCCGGGGGGCGACGTTCCGGCTATCTTCGATGAGCTGTCCCTCGTCTTCCCGACTCCGCCCGCGGGAGGACAGGCCCGACCCGAGGCCAGGACGAGGAGAGTTCGTTCCAGAGCGTCCCGGGACGCTCTCAGAGCGTTCCAGAACGCTCCGGGAGGACCGCGGCGCCCGAGACATCCGCCGGATCTCAGGGATCTCGCGATCTGTCCTCGCCCGATGTGATGCTCGTCCCTGGCCCCGTCTCAGCCCGGCGCTCGCCCGTGGGGTACATACTCGTGCCCGCCTGGTGCCCGTGCGCGCTGCCGCCCAGGGGCGCCCAGGGGCACCCGCAGGAAGAGTGGTGGAGGGGAAGGTGGGGAGGGGGAGTGCGGTCGGACCGAGGTGTGAGATCGTCGTCGTCGTCGTCGTCGTCGTCGTCGTCGTCGGCGTCGGCGTCGGCGTCGGCGTCGTCGTCGTCGTCGTCGTCGCCGTCCGCGGCGTCGTCGTCGGCGTCGGCGTCGTCGTCGTCCTCGTCGTCGTCGTCGTCGTCGCTCTCGTAGCCGTCGCTGTCGCCGTCGCCGTCGCCGTTGTCGCCGTCCCTCGTGCTTGTCGTACGTTGTTGTGCATCCCGGGGGAGGTTAACCTCGAGTGATCTTACGGTCTGTGGTGTTTTGGCCGGCGAAAGGTTTCATGCTCTCGAAGGACGTTCTTCTGTCCTAGGTCCGACCGTAGGACCGCGGACCGACCATAATCTGCTCAAAATCGGTTCCCACGCCCCTCTCGGGGCTCATCCTGGCTTGTTCTTCGAGTTGTGTCGCAGACTCGGTGAGCTCTCAGATCGGTATCGGTATGGCTTGATCGGGATGCGAAAACGCAGGGAGAGCGTCCGCGGGGGGAAGTGACTGCGGGGGCCGGCATTCAGGACAGCGGCGAGTTAGACACACGAAGGTCCGAGAATCTCCGAAACGAAGACGTCGATCGACGCCGAGGAGGAGGAGGAGGAGGAGTGCAGAGGAGGAGTGCAGAGGAGGAGGAGGAGGAGGAGGAGGAGGAGGAGGAGGAGGAGGAGGAGGAGGAGGAGGAGGAGAGCGGAGGAGGAGAGCGGAGGAGGAGTAGGAGTGCGGAGGAGGAGGAGTGCGGAGGAGGAGGAGGACGAGAAGGAGGAGGAGGAGGAGGAGCAGGACGAGGAGGAGGAGGAGGAGGACGACGAGGAGGAGGAGGGAGGGAGGGAGGAAGGAGGCAGGGCCTGGGTGCAGCGCAGGGGTCGAGATCCTGGCGGGCGATGCCGCCGAGGAGGCCCGGCTGGAGCGGAGCGAGCAGGACGGGGTTCCCGCAGAACCGGCGGGAGGGGTCGCTGGCGAGCGAAGGGTCTGCACGCACGAAATGGGTACATAAAGACTGGGTACAATGTAGCGTCGCTGTAGCGTCGATTGGCGCCGATTCAGCGTTGGTTGGCGTCGATTCGCAAGAGCCGACAGGACGGTATGGGAGGCTCCCACGAGTTGCCACCGAAGGCTCCGGACATCTGCTCCCTGGCCCTGGCACGCCTCCGCCTCCTGCCCCCTCCCCCACCTCCGCCGTGCCTCCTCCCCGGGCCTCCTCGCGTCGTGAAGCAGGTAGCGATGGGCCGGTGTGCGGCGGGTGGTTCTCGGCATCTGGGGTGGCCTTACCGGGCTCAGGGCTGCACGAACAAAGTAGGGAAATAATGGGTACAATGCCCAACAGCAGTTCCTGTTCATTTTGAAGAGGACTCGCTATCCGCGCCGCCGCGGCCTGTGTCCATGTGAGACAGAGGGCCGCCTGCCCCACGGCGGCCGCTGTTGGTCTGGGACAACATTTGTTGTTGGGCATTGTACCCATTTTTTCCGTACCCATTTCGGGCGTCCAAGAAGGGGGGGGGGAAGGTAACGTTGATCTTTCGGGTATAGCCAGGACCCCAGGTAAGGGGACCCGATTAGTGGTAGGGCCCCGGAACTCCCAAATTTGCCAGTGTCACTAAACCAGGTCTGCCGTAGCTGGTGTTTTTTCGGGTGACGGCAGTTCTGGTTAGTGGAAGGGGGCGGGGGGGGGCGCCCCCAAGTACATATCACTAAACCAGGTCCCACTAAACCCAGTTCTGCCAACGCCCGAGTTGCATCTTCGGGGGACCTCGCCTGTCCCCAGGATGGGTGTCTTCTCATTCGGAGAAGGAAGAGGTACCCATACCTCTACCCCCCCGCCCGTTTTCCCCTTTTCGGGGCTTCCTCGGAGGCCCTCGTCGCCGCCGCTGGATTCGCCTCGAAGTCCTGGTCAGAACGCACCCCAGGAGAGGTTCGGGGGGTAGCGGTATCGGTACCTTTTGGTTTCCCCACTCTTATGCCCGACGCGGGCTCGATGCGGCCTCGACGCGGATTTGGCGCGGATTCCACGCGGATGCGACACGGATGCGGCAGGGATTCGAGGAGTCGGGCACGGAGTCGACACGGGTTCGACCCGACACGGATAGGGCCGCGACGGGACAGACAAGGTCCCCCGAGGATGCCACATTAAGAAGTAGGAGGTTTCCCAAAAGGCGGCGGGGCTTGTCAGAAGCCCTCCAGCCTTCTGAGAGGTTTTCTGCGTCTTCGGGGAAGGCTCAGGAAATTTCTCAGGAGGCTGGGGAACTTCCGAGCCTTCTGAGACGGCCCGCCCCTTCTCATTTCCCCCCCGAACGCGCTGCCGAAGGGAGGACGAGGTAGGTTGAAGTTGTTCCTGCCCTCCTTTAGGGTCAACTGCAAGGAGGTTGGTTTCAACATGGGCTCTAGGATATCCGTGGCCGGAAACCAGTCTCATCTGGCATACTCCCTCTTAATCTGCTCTAATCCCGCTCATGTTGTTTCAACCTCCGCTAAATTTGGCCAGACCTGGCTCACTGGCACCTAAATCGGGTTTGCCATCGTTTAGTCGTTCTTGCGAAGACCTCCCAGGAGCTGCTTCCAAGACTCCTTCCATCCTTTTCCACACGGCCAAGGCTGCTCTAGATCGGCTTTGGCTTCATGCGAGAAGCCGAGCAACCTATCGCAGGCCTAGAGGTTGACACCAACACCAATATCGGCAGTCTGCCTCCACCGAGGGAAGAGGATCCCGATCTCGGTGATGGTGGTAATATTCTCGCTTCCAAGGTGACCGAACTATTACCACCAACACCGAAATCTAGGATCATCTTCCCCCTGTGGAGGCAACCCCCTGTGTTGGTGCTGCTGCCCACTTCCAGGCCTCCAAACCTGGGGCGAGAAGCATATCCACATCCGCATGCCGCGGTCTGGATTCCCTGGCTTGCGAGCCCGTGCCCGCAGCGTCGCCCTGCGCGGATGCCCCGCGCGGAGCGCCTGCGGGAGACCGCGCACCCCGTGGGATTGCCTTCGGCGCCCAAGGCCGCAACTGCATCCTCCTCCTCCTCCTCCTCCTCCTCCTCCTCCTCCAATGGATCTGGATACATGGCCGTCGCTCGACAGGGCACCGCGGGATCCACAGGCCGACTGAAGGCCGCGATGCTGACCCTGTCTCTGGACGGCCTGCCCTTCACCCACACCGCCGCGGCAACCGCACACGTTGCGCGGCGGCATCCGCGACAGCGCCTCTCGTGGCAGCGATCTCTCGCGAGGAAGGGCGATGCAGAGAAGCCGGGAGGCTACTCCAGATCTCGTAATAAAAGGGAGGGGGTCTGGACCCTCCAAGACAAGCCATTTCAGACCCCCCCCCCGTGGGAGAACCCTCCAAAACATCGTCCCCAGACCCCCCCAGGCCCTCCAAGATAGCCTGGAAGAGACCCCCCCCGAAATGAGACCCCCTCCCTTTTATTCCGAAATCTGGAGTAACGTAGGGGGCGATGCTGGTGCCGGTGGTGAGAGCGCGTCCTGCCTGCTGCGGCCCAGGCGTGCACCTGCTCGCTGCTGCGGCCGCCTCGCGACAGGACCGGCACGCACCCGAGTGGCAGTCCGCCGACCCCACGTTCGGCTCGGACTCTGGCAGCGAGGTCATGTCCTCGGGGAGCGGGGGGGGGCGCGGCAGCGGCCGCAGCAAGGGGAGCGCAGAGAGGTGGATGGGCATGGGCCGAGCGGGCGTAGAGGCTTGGACAGCAGTCAAGGGAGGAAGGCCACCCCCGCCCCCCACAGCCCGGCGTTTACCAGACCGCCCTGGGCGCCAACTGTACAGCCTTGTCCTGTTCGCTTCCTTATTTGGGTGGGTTTGCTGAACGGCTTCGCTTGTCGGGGGCTGCTTGTCGTGAGTTTGTCTGCCTCCGTTCTCTGAACACGCAGTCGAGCAGGCCGTGCCCCTACACGTGCCTGTAATGCTCAGGGGGCTGCCAAGAATCTGCCGAATGCTCGGCCAACTCAGGATCCCCGCGTGTCAGCTTGTCGAGCGACAGCGTCGGGCATCCTTTCCAGCGGAGCATGGCTCAAGGCGTCGGGGCAATGGCCGGCAGACCTTGCCACGGCTCGTGAGGGGAACGCAGGCCAGGTGTGGATTGCGAACGTGACTCTCCTCACCTTCCTTCTCGCTTCTCATTTCTCCTTCGCACCCTCACCCTCCTCCCCACTCCAACTTTCCTGCCTCTTCCCTCCTCCTTCCCTCCGCCTTTTCTCCTCCGATCGCACCTAGGTTCAGGCCTCTTGGTTAAAAGGCCCGTCTCGTCCTCACCGTCGTCCTCAGTGCCTATCGCATGTAGTTGCAGTCAAGTTTCTTGTGGCTTAGATGGCAGGGGTGCTGACTGAGGGATGGAAAGCACAGTCCACGTTTGTAGGTGGCCTCCCAATGCAGCAGTAGATCCTCCAATATGTTGGTCAGTCAATGCGATAGCTGATGGAGTCGCTGATGATGCAAGCAGGGAGCACGTCGGGCGCAATTCATAGCATTACCTTGCATAGGGTCGGGGTTCCATCGGAGCTGTACGTGTTGCTTGTAAACCACATTGCAGGACGTCGTGGCCTTTCCTCCTCCCCCCTCCCCAACATGTTTCTGTGGCCCCCACGTATCCCTCGTCCCTCCCTCCTCCGTTCTCCCTTCGCCACCTTCTCCTCCTCTTTCTTCTTCTCCTCCTCCTCCTCCTCCTTTCCCTCTTCCTCCTCCTCCTTTCCCTCTTCCTCCTCCTCCTCCTCAATTCCCTTTTGGAATCCGAGTGGGCCGCCTGCAAACCTCCAACCTGGAATCCGACCGGGTTGTTCTGGCACGAAACTGGAGGAAGTCAGGTCGGGGACTTTCCGACAGGGGGAGCTCCCTGGGGAGGCGGAGGGGGCGGGCAGGGGAGAGAGGGAAAGAGGAAAGGAAGGCCCCAGATGATTGGAGGTCCCTGGACTTCTCCGAGTTCCGACGAGGGGGATCCTCCAACGCCTCCTCCTCCCCCTCCTCCTCTTCCTCCTTTTCCTCCCCCTCCTCCTCCTCCTCCTTCACCTCCTCCTCCTCCTAATCCTCCCTCTCTCTTTTTTTTTTGTTCTCTCTCTCTCTCTCTCTCTTTCTCTCGCTTTGCCCATCCCTCCTCCGACTCTAAATGCTCATTGGGATCCGAGCGGGCCATCGTATCCATTGGGACGCAGCGGAATCCGAGCGACGTCTTTAGGGGTCTTTAGCGGATCACTCGCTCGACCCATCAAAGGAGGAAGCATGCTGCATCTGTACGTCATGTAGACAAAACAATTGAGCCAGGAGGGGGCAACGTAGTGAGTGGGAGAAGGGCCTGCGCCAGGCTGAGAAGGATAATGATGCAGAGCAGACAGTCAGGACGCCCCGCCAATCATCAGGACGACGATGAGAGGCGTGTCCAGATTCGCCGAGAGGATTTGCATGCGGGGTCCTACCGTCGGAGTGGTTGTCAGGAGCTTCGGCGTCGCCCATGCTGCGCCCATGGCCCCCGACTAACAACGACCACGGCCCCCGCTTGATACTTCGTCACGGTTTATTCAACAATCGCGTTCTCGCTTGGGATTTCGCCAGAATTTACGCCACAATCGCGCTCGCGCGTAGGAGTCGCGCTCTCGATTTGGCTTGTCCCAGGATTGACTTGGGCGTCGCGCTATCGTTCGAGCTCCCATTGGGTTTCATGCAACGCTCACGTTTCAGCAGCGCGCCTTCTCGACCTGGCCGCTGGGTTCGCCTTCCCGGCGCGCTCGTTAAGGTCTACCCGCCCGATGGGCCCGTTTGTTTCTGCCACGCGCGTTTTGCTCCAAGTCCCCCTTCCGCCAAACCTGTGTTCCATCCGTTCCCCTCCGCCTTCCATTGTCTTGTCCTCCCCTGTTTCAGGGGCTGCATCAAACGCGCGCGGCAGGTAAAGAACATATCCCCCCAGGGGGTACGATCTAGAACCACTGAGGGTTTTCGATATGCGTGTTGAGTTGTTTTGAACTGATCGTTGTTGGTGCTGTTGGGGTCTCACTTCTAACGAATAGGTATTACATGACTACCCCACCTTTGGGGACCATTTTGCATTTTTCGATTAAGGGGCCCCTCCTGGAGCTCGCACCCGGTTTTCTGTAAGGGAAAGTCTTGGGGTTCAGATTGGGCCCGTGGCCCCCGAGTTACACCAACAACAACGTTTCCCGTTTGATATTTCGTCAGAATGTATTGAAAAGTCGCGCTCTCGCGCGAGATTTCTTTACAATGTATGCAGGAATCGCTCTCTCGCGTGGGACCTCCTTGCAATTTGTTCAGACGCCGCGCCCTCGACACTCGGGAACCACGCTCTCTCGGAGGATTTCTTCACGATGTCTTGGGGAAGCGCGCTGTCGCGCGAGACGTCCCCACGATCCATGCAAGACGAAGGCTTCAGCAACCCGCCTGTTCGACCTGGTCGCTTGGGCCCGCCTTCCCCACCCGCCCGTCATGTTCTACCCGCCCGGTGGTTCTGCCAGGTGCGTTCTGCTCCTAGCCTCCCTCCTACTTATTTCTCTCGTGCTCCATCCTCCTCCCTCCCCTCTCTTTTTTTCTTCCATCCACCCTCCTATCCCTTTGCTTCGGGGCTGCACGAAGTACACGTTGCAGATTAATAAAGATGTATCCCCAAGGGGGTACGATCGACGACGACGAGGGTGGGTATCGAGTAATTGGGTATACGTGTTGATTGGCACGCGAACAGACAAGAGCGACCCGTCTTGAAATTATGATTTTTGGAATTTAATTCCGAATGAGTAATTATTGTTGGTCTGCCCCGGTAACCATCGTATTTTTCAATCCAGGTGCCTCTCCCGGGGTTCGCACGCTGTTGTCTACAATTGGAAGCGAGGTGTCACCTAATTGCGTCCCCCGCCCAGGACTCCCAACGACAACGGCTTCCGCCGGATACTTCCTCACAATTCATTCCCAAATCGCGCTCTCGCGCTGGACTTCCTCACAATGTATGAAGAAATCGCGCTCTCGCGTGGGATGTCCTCGCAACGTATTCAGACGCCGTGCCCTCGACACTCAGGAATCACGCTCTCGCTGCCGGGCCCGCCTTCCCGACCCGCCCGTTAGAGTCTACCCGTCCGATGGGCCCGCCTGGTTATGCCACGCGTTTCTGCTCCTAGCTCCCCTCCTGCTAATGTTTCGCTCTCGTGCTCCTCCTCCCTCCCCCTTGCCCCTTCCTTCGATCTGTCCTCCCATCCCCTGCCTGTGGGGCTGCACGAAACATATGTTGCAGATAAGCCAGATATAACCCCAAGGGGGTACGATCGAAGACGAAGAGCGCGGGTATTGAGGGATTGGGATCTACGGGTTGGTTGGCACGCGAGCAGAAAAGAGCGACCCGTCTTGAAATGGTTGTTGTTGAGTTCTCAGTCCTCGAGAAGAGATATTGCCGACCCCCCTCCCGGGTAACCGTCGCATTTTTGGAATGAATGATGTGTTTTTTTTTCCGGGGCCCGCACCCTGCTATTGACATGGGGAAGTGGTGTGCCACCAACCTGCGCCCCTCGCCCCCCGTTCACGGCAACAGCTGCTCCCGCACGGTATTTCCTCACAGTGTATTCCGCATTGCTGTTGCCATAGCCGTCACATGATTGTTGTTGGTGTTGCTATGGTTGTTGTGGTGGTGGCAGTGGCAGTGGTTGTTGCTGGTGCTGCTGCTGGTATTATTGTTGGTATTGCTGTTGTGATTGGTACTGCTGCTATTGTTGCTGCTGTTGAGTTTGCTGGAAGTGCTGTTGTTGCCGCTGTTGCTGCTCTGGTTGTTGTGGTTGATGTTGATGTTGATGTTGTTGTTGTTGTTGCTGTTGCTGTTGCTGTTGATGCTGTTGTTGTTGTTGTTGTTACTAGGGTTGTCGTTGTAGTTGAAGTCTCCTTTCTAAAGGATACGTGTTCTTGATCCCCCCCTCCAGGGCACATTGTATGTTTCAAATTGAAGCGCTTCTCCCAGGGCTCGCACCTTGTTCTTTACGAGGGAAGTCGAGGGGTCACCAAATTAGGCCCCTGGCCCGCGAGTTATAACGACAACGGCTCCCGCCTGATACTTCCTCACAACGTATTCCCAAATCGCGCTCTCACGCGGGACTTCCTCACAATTGGTGCAGACATTGCGCTCTCGCGTGGGATTTCCTCGCAATTTATTCAGACAGCGCGCCCTCGACACTCAGGAATCACGCTCTCGCTGTGGACTCTCATCCCAATGTATTTGGGAATCGTGCTATCGCTCGAGATTTCGTCGCGATTCAGGCAGGACGCACGCTTCAGCAACCCGCTTCGACCTGGCCGCCTGGGCCCGCCTTCCCGACCCGCCCGTTACGGTCCACCCGCCCGATGGCTCCGTCTGTTCCTACCACGTGTTTTCTGCTCCTATCCCCCCCTCCTGCTGCTCTCTCGCGTGCTCCATCCTCCTCCCTCCGCCTTGTCCCTTCCTTCCATCAGTCTTCCTTTCCACTTCCTTAGCTCACCACCCACCAAACCACCCCAACCCAACCCGAAGGCTCAGATTTACCCTCGATTTCCAGTGGGGGGGGGGTCGGGAAACGTCGAAAAAACACATGTGGAACCCTTACCCCCCCCAACCCGAAATTCGGGTCTTCGGGTTGGGTTGGGGTGGTCTGGGAGGTAGTCATTAGCGGCTACACGAACTGCACGGTGCAAGCAAAACAGGTCTATACCCCCAATGGGGGCACGGTCGAAGCCGAAGAGGGCGGCTATCGAGGGCTTGGGCTACACCCACCGGTCGTTGAAAGTAGGTATTTTTGGATTTCCAGATTCCAATCTACTTCCAGCGCCTTCCTACTTCAAGAGTCGAGTGGTTATCCCTCTTCCTTCCTCTTCAGGAGGCGTGCGGAAACCCAATCTATTTCCAACGCCTTCCTACTTCATGTTTCTACCTACTTCTTCCGACCGATGGCTATACCCGCTGCATGCCCACAAGCAGATACAGGTGAACAGTCTTCAACGGATCGTTGTTGAAGTCACTACTGAAGAGTCGGTATTGTTGACCCCCCCCTCCGGTGACCATTGCGTTTTCAGTTGTGCTTCCCAAGGGGTTCGCACCCTGCTTTTTTCTGCATCAGGGAAAGTCACGGGGCTCAAACTGTGTTGTTGGCCCCCGGATTACAACAACAAGAACGGCTCCCGCTTCAGACTTCCACACAATTTAGCCAGGACTCCCGCTCCCGCCCGAGACTTCCGCGCGTTTTACTCAGGAACCGCGTTCTCGCTTGGGGTTTCCAGAGAATTGATTCGGGAATCGCTTTCTCGGTGCTCTGGGGTCGCGCTCTCGCTGGAGACATGATTGCAATTTACTCAAGAATCGCTCTCTTGCGTTGGATTTCCTTGCAATCTACTCAAGCGCCGCGCTCCCGACACTCAGGCACCCAGGAGTCGCGCTCACGCTCAGGACTCCCTCACGGCTTACTCAGGAATCGGGTTCTCGTTGCCCTTTGTGGCCCCGTTGCAGCCCTTCGAGGCCCCCTCGCTGCTTTTTGTGGACCCCTTACAGCTCTTCGTGACCCCCTCGCTGCCCTTCGAGGCCCCGTTGCAGCCCTTCGTGGCCCCCTCGCTGCCCTTCGTGGACCCGTTGCAGCCTTTCGTGGATCCTTCGCTGACCTTCGTGGCCCCGTTGCAGCCCTTCGTGGCCCCCTCGTTGCCCTTCGTGGCCCCGTTGCAGCCCTTCGTGGATCCCTCGCTGCCCTTCGTGGCCCCGTTGCAGTCCTTCGTGGCCCCCTCGCTGCCCTTCCTGGCCCCGTTGTAGCCCTTCGTGGCCCCCTCGCTGCCCTTTTTGGCCCCATTGCAGCCCTTCGTGGCCCCATATGCATGCCCTTCGTGGCCCCGCTGTCGCCCTTCGTGACCCCCTCGCTGCCCTTCGTGGCCCCGTTGCAGCCCTTCGTGGCCCCCTCGCTGCCCTTCGTGGCCCCATATACGTATGCCCTTCGTGGCTTCCGCTCGTTCGCGCCCGTCGTGGCTCCATATGCATGCGCTTCGTCGCCTTTCGTGGCCCCCTCGCTGCCCTTGGTGGCCCCGTTGCTGCCCTCAGTTTCCCCGTCCTTGCCCTCTACAGTCCAATATACGTATGCCCTTCGTGGCCCCCGCTCGTTCGCGCCCGTCGTGGCCCCATATGCAGATCCTTCGTGGCCCCGCTGTCGCCCTTCGTGACCCCCCTCGCTGTCCTACGCGGCCCCGTTGCTACCCTCAGTGGCCCCGTCGTTGCCCTTTGTGGCCCCGCAGTATCTGCCCTTCGTGGCCCTGGCTCGTTCGCGCCCTTCGTGATCTCATACGCATGCCCTTCGTGGCCCAGCTGTCCCCCTTCGTGGCCCCCTTCGTGGCCCCGCTGGCGCTCTCGCTCTCGCTTTCGCTCGTCGTCGTCGTCCTCGTCGTCGCGGTCGGTCCCCTGTCCGTCCCTCTTGGGGTCGGGTTGCCGCCGATCAGCGCTGCCGCTGGCCAGGCCGACGGTCCGCGGCCGCCCCGCCGCTTGCGGGGGCCCGGCCTGCAGGGAAGAAAGATATACCCCTAAAAGGGGCACGATCGAAGACGAAGAGGGCGGGTATCGAGGGTTTGGGAAATACACGTTGAATGACATTCGAGCGGATAAGAACGAACAGTCGTCTTAAAGTGATTGTTGTTGTTGGTGCTGTTGTAGTTGTTGTTGCTGTTGCTGCTGCTGTTGTTGTTGTTGTTGAACATTATTAATTCTAAAGAATAATTATTGTTGGGACCCCTGGTGCACGGCCCCCCTGCGCCGCCTAGGCCGCAGCTACATTTTCATCATTTTCGTGAGGAAGCCTCAGGTAAAACGATGTGATCAAGATCCGGTTGTTTTGTTGTAATCCGTTTTCCCTTGCAAAAAACACTATAAAATGACATTTCTTGTTCTAATATAATCAAATTTCAAGAATCCCTTGCAAAAAATAAGGTAAAGTGGACATTCGCGCGCGCAAGACGAAATCCTTCCAAAAGCTTAGTGTTCGGAGCGATTTTAACATAAAAACATCAAAAAACCAATGGTTTTTCAACAAAAAAATGTCAAAATCTCATCCCGCGCGCTCTTGCGGATTCGTAGGAAACCCAACACTTTTTAAACATTTCTGTCAAACGGGCTTTTGCGAGCAACTTTTTCGAACTTCTGCGACAACGGTTGCGCACCTGCCAGGGCCATCATCCCTGTCAAATAATACCATGCGGGACACATTCGTTTTTTCTTCGCGCGCGCACGCCGAAATCTCCAAAAACCATTGGGTTCTTAAGAATTTTAGCACCGCGCATCATAAAATCACACGAATCGCACCGTAGGTCCTCGAAAAACACCTGCACGACTTAGCGCGGCTTAACAACTTCTGTGGGTGTGTACTCCACGCCAGTGTAGTAGCCACGGTCGTCCGCAGGCCACGAAGTGAAGTGTCCGAACGTCATAGGGCGGGAAGCTGGGTGTGGGTGGTGGCGAAGAGTCGTGTGGATATTTGGTAGAGCTTGCACTGCCCCCCCACAAAGTGGGGGTATTGGCTGGCGTCGCATGAAAACCCTGGCACTGGTGAGAACACTGAGCGTTCGGGTAAAGTGATTGTTGTTGTTGTTGTTGTTGTTGCTCCTCCCCTTCCTCCCTGAACGCCTCCTTGCCTATGCCTCATCCCCTTCCTCGGCCCTCTCCCCTCCCTCATCCCCCGCATCACCATCATCCCCTCGCGCTCCTTCCTCCCTCCCTGCCACCCTCCCCTCCTCCGTCTCTCATCCCTCACCCTTCCTTCCCCGTCACCCCCTCCGGCTCTTGAGCACATGGCGCCCCCGTGCGGGTTGTCGGAGGGCCCCGTCCGGCGTCGCCGTGGACGCGCATGACGTGCGCCAGGACCTCGACTTGCTCCTCCAGGAGAACCAGAGGCCGCGCTGCAGGGGAGTCCTCCTTCCCCAGACCTCCTCCCACCTCCAACCCTCCCCTATCATTAGCCCTCCCCTCCCCCCTCCTCCTCATCTCTCATCCCTCATCCCTCATCCGAGTCGTCCGTAGCCATTCTGGCTGACGCCGCGTTGGGACCCAACATTTTCGCCCGTGCAGACATGGTTTTCGACACGGCGCAGGCATTTGAGAGCCATTGGTTTCAAGTTTGTTTCGTACTGCGCATGTCCCCCGGCCAACATACTTTTTCGGAGGATGAAGGTGGAGGAACATATTACAACAACGACGATTGGGATTCCTTGTGGGCTGGTATTCCAGTCGGACTAGGAAGAAGGCAGGAGGCCCATTCACAGTGCGTCATGGTGCAGTTGCAGCAAGAACGAGTCGAAGGCGAGGCGATGCAAATTTTGCGGGTCTACTTTGCCGCAGATCGTGCCATCTGATCGCGCTGTTGTTCCCCATGTTCCATGGCGTGCTCCTCCACGCGGTGCGTTCGGCCCGCCGGATCCAAGCGATGCCCCTCGTGCCGCCGCCGCTCGCCCGGGGCTCGCCCACGCTGGTGCTCGTGGAGAGGGGCTGCGGGCAAGCAGGGAGGGGATGGGAGGTCTCGAGGGACGAGGCAAGGGAGGATACTCCAGATTTCGTAATAAAGGGAGGGGGGTCTCCTTTCGGGGGGGGTCTCTTCCAGGCTATCTTGGAGGGCCTGGGGGGGTCTGGGGACGATGTTTTGGAGGGTTCTCCCACGGGGGAGGTCTGAAATGGCTTGTCTTGGAGGGTCCAGACCCCCTCCCTTTTATTACGAAATCTGGAGTACACACGGCCACTTCCAGTGGGTGCGCAACCAAACTCACGCTCGACGGGGCAAAGCAGATCGACAGCTTGGCGAGGGAGGCTGGGGACATCAACGCTCATCAGAGTCACGATGCTTTGGTTAAGAAGTCTGACGTTCAGCTCAACCACGTTGTCAGGCCCAATCGCAAGCGAGTTCAATCAGCTCATGGTGCTGCTGGTAGAACCGAACAAGAGAATCATCGGGGAGTCTGGCAAGTTGGCGCGTTGGCGTGACGGTGCGATGGCCCTGGAGCGCTTCGCTGGTGAGCCGTAGCAAGATTTGCACGACACCGACGCCGAGCACAAGGAGGTCTCCGGCGAGCTGCAGCAAAGAACGCACGCGCGGGGCCCGACGCCGCCTCTGGCGGCCGCGGAAGAAGGCCCCGCCCCGCGTCTTGGCGACGTTGCAATGGCAAGGTCGACCTCTGCTGACTGCTCTCTCTCGGGGTGAGCTCCTCGCCGGCATCGACGAGGAGTCCGACACGCCCGCTGGGGACAGGATCGAGGCAGAGGGCAGGAAGGAGACGCTCACCGAGGCATGCCAGCCGGCCGCGAGGGACTTGTCGGGCCCGCTCGTCGCGCAGGCTCGCGAGGCTCGCGATGCCAACGCCGCCCGCGCGCGTCGCGCGGGGGCCGAGCACCGCGAGGCGGGCGGTAGCGAGGGCGCGCCTCAGGCATCCAGCGGGTACAGCCGGCCCGGATTCCTAGGTCGACCCGGCCAGGTCAAGGGTACCCTTGTGCCCTGTGTCTCGCGACCCGTGCCTCCTGCATTCCCGTGGCAGTGTGGCCCTGGGAAGGGTCTCGTGTCCTCTCGCGTGTCCTCTCCAATCACGTCCGACTGCAGCGAGGGCGCGTCTCAGGCTCCAGCGGGCTCCAGCGAGAGGCGGAGGGCCAGGCGCATCGGGCTCCGATGGGGCACCTCCTGCGGGGGCGAGCGCAGGCGGCGGCCGAGGCGGAGCGGCTTCCGCGGAGCGGCTTCCGCTGCCGCCTCTCCGGTCGACGTTCCGCAGCGCGCCGAGAATCTTGCGTCGCAGGCCCCCCCCCCTCCTCCTCCTCCTCCCCCTCCTCCTCCTCCTCCTCCTCCTCCTCCTCCTCCTCCTCCTCCTCCTCCTCCTCCTCCTCCTCCTCCTCCCTCCTCCTCCTCCTCCTCCTTCTCCTCCTCCTCCTCCTTCCTCCTCCTCCTCCTATCCTCCTCCTCCTCCTCCTCCTCCTCCTCCTGCTCCTAGCCTCCTCCTCCTCCTCTCCTCCTCCTCCTCCTCCTCCTCCTCCTCTTCCTCCTCCTCCTCCTCCTCCTCCTCCTCCTCCTCCTCCTCCTCCTCCTCCTCCTCCTCCTCCTCCTCCTCCCTCCTCCTCCTCCTCCTCCTCCTCCTCCTCCTCCTCCTCCTCCCTCCTCCTCCTCTCCTCCTCCTCCTCCTCCTCCTCCTCCTCCTCTTCCTCCTCGTCCTCCTCATCCCCCCTGGCGAGGCGGGTCCAGGGCTCCAGTAGGCCACTCTCTTCGGGCGCCCAGAGGCATCGTTGTCCTGGCCCCCCTGGAGCAGCTTCCCCTGTGGGCATCCGGGCGCGTCCAGTGGCGCGAGCATCCTGGCCGGGGATGTTGTCGGACTTCGTGGGCCTCTAGGAGATGCATTGCGGCTCCTCGCAGTGCAGTTGCTGGAGTGGCGCGCCCGCCAGGCGGATATTCGACCACCGTGCTCTCGTGCTACCAGATTAGCAACGACCATTCGTCGTTAACTAACTTCGACATGCTTGCGGCCGTCTTCGATCAGTTATTTCCTGCGGAAGGTGCGGGGGCATCGCGGGGGGCGGTTTCAATTTTGCCCCAGGGGGCCTCTGTTCCGCGGGCGCGAGGGCCAAGCTTCAGAGACAAATTTTAGAGGGCTTGCGCGTTTCGTGCTTTCTTTTCCTGGCTCAGCCGCAAGCGCCGGCGTTCAGTCCACCGCCACCTTCCCCCGTGCAGGCGCTTTTTGTTGGCCCTCGACCCGAGCCTCCCGAGCGAAAGAGAGGCTGGCGCTGGCCAGGGGCCCCCGCGGCCGCAGCCGGGCGCCGCTGGGGCGCGCCGCCGGGGCGCCGACCTCGCTGAGAACGGGTCGCTCGGTTCTTGGGGAGGCCCTGCCCCGCCTCTCGGGGCCCGCGGCACAGGCCCCCGGGCGCTCTGCTTGGCATCGCTCCGCGGACGTGCGCATTTTTCCTTCGGCGAGGGCCATCGAGGAGCACCCTCGATCGTTTGGGGAAAAAAACCACACACACACACACACACACGAAACCGACAAACAAAAAAACCCAGGGAATGGACGTCCGAGCGATGGCCAGTCTGGCGTTCTCGGGCGAGCGCGGCTCTAGGCGAGGCCCGCTGCCCGGAGCCTTCTCCGCTGCGCGCGGTGGCGGGGCGTCCGCGCCGCCGGCCCCGGGCAGGTGTCCGTCGGCCGCCGAGCCTCTCCTGTCGGGCAGTGGCGAGTCGTCCCGGCCTGCAGCCCTACCAAGCAATGTTCTGAGAACCTGTTGCTTGGCATCGCTCGGACGTGTGCATTTTTTCTCGGCGAGGACCATCGAGGAGCATCCTTGATCATTTGGCGAAAAAGCCACGCGCGAAACCGAACAAACACACAGGAAATGGACGTCCGAGCGATGGCCAGGTTGTGGTTTCCACGAAGTGTTCTCAGGGCATTTCTGGCTGGGACTGTCTTGTTTCAGCGTATGAGGCCTACGTTCTAAGAACCTTGGTTTTGCTCTTCGAACATGTCTGGGTTCTGAGAACCCCTTCTTGTGGCAGGACTCCAGAACCTGCCGGGACGGTCGGTCCCGGCTGCAACTCCCGGCCCCGCCTGTCCGCGCCTGCTGCATTCCTCGCTCCTGGCTTCGCCGCGCGCCGCTGGGCGCACGGGGGGCCCCGCGGGCGCGCCGCGCCGAGCGCAGACTGGGCGGGAGGCGCGGGGCCCGGCAGCTCCCATCGGCGGCGAGGAGTCCGAGCCACTCCGGCCCCGCGGGCGCTCCGCGGCTCGGGCTGGCTGCCGAGTGGTCCAGCAGGCGCAGGGCGAGGGCGCCGAGGGATTGGACCTCTTGGCCGACGCGGACGGGCGGGGCGGGCTCGCTCGGTGTTGGGGGGGCCTGTGGTCTGGAAGCCGGCGTGCTCACTGCTCTGGCCGCCCCTCAGCGCGAGAGGGAGAGGCTCGCGGGGCACCAGGAGGCCACCGCGGAGCCGCGCGAGGAGGCCCGCAGATCCCCAGTGGCTCCGCTTCCCCTCTTGCGGCCCGACACAATCCGGAGCATTTCCAGGCGGCGCGAGGAAGCCGGCGCGGTGGCCGTCGACGGTTGTCACCTCCGCCGCTACGCTCCGTTGCGCGACGATAGTCCCCAAGAGGTTGCTGGCCTGGCCTGCCTCGTGGAATGTCTGGGCCCTCTCCTCGGGAGGTGAGGGCGCCCCCCACAGCTCTGCGAGGTGCGAGGAGGATGGCGGCCTCATCGGTGTTCGAAGCAGCATGCATCGATCTTTGGGGGGCGCCTTCGGCGCTCTTGCGGGCTTGGACGGGCGCTCAGCTGCAGGCGCCAGTTCTCCCCCCCCCCTGGGCCGCCATCGCGGCGCCCTCGGCGTCGTCCAGCGCCAGTCCCGTCGAACTGAAGCAGTGGCGGCCGAAGAGGGTGCCACCGCGAGCCTGCCGTGGGAGGCGCGCGAATACTATTGACGCGTCCGTCGACATCGGCCAGGGCCCAGTGTTCTTCGGCTCGGGCTCCCCCCAGCGATGGCTCATCTCGCGCGCGCTGCTTGCCGCCTCCCCCGGGTTCGTCTCGGTGGCTGGTTTCATCAGTGGCCCGTGGTTCGTGGTTCGAGGCGTTGTGGTTGGCCGCAGTTTCGCTGCCGCGCACGTTCGCATCTACTCGATCGCTGCTTGCGGTCGGGTTTCGCTCCTCGGTCGTCGCGAAACCATATGGCTACATCGACGGTCGCCCTTCGTGCTACTGGGACTCCAAATCTGGTTATTCGCGAGTTAGGTGCTGCGGTCGATAAGCTCCACCAGGTCATCGCGGTCGACGCGGGGGCTCGGGCCGCGCGGGGCAGTATTGCCATGGCCCATGGTCTGTTCCAGAAGCAGCAGCGAGAGCTCTCTAGGATCGTTTGGGGGACCTCGCCTCCTCGGGGCTCAAGAGACGGGGCCAA